GGAAAAATTATATCATAGTAAAATTATATTTGTGTAATGAAATCAGTAATCATCTACTATAACGAATAATTTGTTAATGCTATAATAAAGATTCTTATAATGAAGTTCTGATCGGCTGGATTGGCAACTTCGTTATATTGAGGTGTAACTGTAATAAGATTTTTCAAACAAAGACCGAACATTCAGGATCAGCAGTACTTGGTTTTAATAACGAAGTTATTGTAAAAAAGTTGTTACGTGAAGTAGAATTTCAACCTTTATTTTTAAAATTGGACAATATTTAGTTGTGGTTTCAAATATTGGTGATTCTAATGGAAATGGCTTTATTTCATCTTTGATGATTACAAAAAAAGGTAAAAGAAATCTAGTATTACAACACGTTACTAACGATAAGTTTATTTTAGATTTTTATCAAAAGACAAATCTTATTTTGCATTATGAAGATGAATCTTCTAATAATGTTTGGAAGCAAATAGGAATCAAGTAACAAGAAAATGGGTTTACTTTATTTGGATTGAATCATACTTTGGTTTTGCAAAAAAGAAAACAAATTTCAAATAATATTGTTTGTATACCTAATGAATGGAATTTGTCCGAAGTATTAAACCAGTTATTTGATCAAAACATTAGGATATGAAAGATAGGCTTGGCTGTATTATTATATTGGAAAGCAATGTTTCAGCATTTGTTGCAACAGAATAGTACAATATTTGAATTCAATCAAGTAATAAGTATTATATACTCACCTAATTATAAACCTCAGGATAAAGAAATTCAAGCTTGGAGAGCGATGTTACGAGCTAGTAGTTGCACTAATATTACACTATATTCAAATAAAGAATCTCAATTAGAATTTTGAAGTAATGCGGATAATCCAAGTATAGATTGTGCAATAATAAAAACGTTATATAAAAATGGTTTTTTGCAACTTATTAATAATTCAAATACTCCAGTAATTATCAGCAATAATGATTGTAAAAATATCTTTTGGAATAGCTTTCATGATGCATATTGGAATGCTAATAAACGCAGAATTCATAGAAGGATCTGTATATTATCTATTATAGCTGAAAAATTTACTTATGTAAAACTTCAAGGACAACTTCAAGTAAGTATTATTCTAATACATATTGACTTTGAATACTTGACTTACTATAATTTTTTAAACCAGATAAGTCCGAATACTATCAATCTTGCTCAAAAGCATGCAAGATTACATGGTTCTGGGACATCAGCAATTAATATTTCTAAAAGAGTTGTACATCAATTATCAAATATTCAAGCTGAATTTTTATCTTTTTTTCAAGATAAAAATAATGTTGTTCAAAGTTCTTATCAAGTTGATGCAAAATCGGGAATACCAATATGTTATATGAAAAATTAAAAATTAGCATTATGGTCAAAGTTTGAAGAAACTTATCCAAATGGAATGCGAAAAACAGCTTTCATGACACAACTTGCAAATTGCATTAAATATTGTAGTGATCTAGGAGGACTTTGTATTACTTATAATGATTATGACTATGATGTGTTTGAAGATCTACTAATATTAGTAAAACAAATTTTTTTACAAAAAGAATTATTAGTATGTTAGTTTGATTTCTAATAAAATAAAATTCTAATTCTAAACTAATTTTTATATTATTAGAATTCTATGATTGCTAGAATTGAATCTTTATGAAGACATCTTAAAAGAGGTTTTGAATGAGAATTAGTAATTGAAGAAAATGGAAAAACTAAACATAATCCTTGTATTGATCATTGCCTTTTATATGCTTTGGTGAATGTCAAGAAAATCATAATTCATGCTGTGAAAATTGTATTGAGTTTTTTGTATTTTTTGATTATCTAAGAGAAAAGATTAACAAAGATCGATTAGAAGCAGTTAATGAAATGCAAGAGAAACTGAAATACTTTTTAGCACATTATGCATGAAAAACTTACATAAATGATCAATTTAAAGCTACTTTACGAAATCTTGATCATGATGGTGCTATTATAATTGCAGATTATAAAATGCAAATTTTACCACAAAGTGCAAGAGAAACCAAACAGAAATTTTTTGGCAAACGTGGTTGGACTTTGCATACAATTCTTCTTTTTACTCTAAAAGAAAATGGAAATGAGTTGAATATTAGAGCGTATGATCATTGGTCTATGGATACAAAATACGATGCATGGTTTACATTATCTTGTTTTGAAGTTGTATTTACAACTATTAAAAAAAGCCTAAATGGATTCAAATAATTTCTGATAATGGATCATATTATCATAACAGTGAATTAATAGCAATTGTATCACATTAGTATGATTGGTATAATATAGAAGTACAAAGTTGGTTATTTCTTGAACCTGGAAAAGCAAAAACAACAATTGATTCACATCATACTTCTGTAAGTATTATATATAAATTATCTATAATTAACTATTGACTTACCTAATTTTTTATTATTTTAGATAGCTCATGCTATAAAAAGATATATTAGAATTGGATATGATTTGACAGATGGATTTCATATTGCAGCAGTAGCAAAAGATTTGGGTGGAACCTATATTGGAAATATAGAACCTAATAGAAAAAAAGAAGAAAATGAATTAGATTCATCACCAGCAATTAATAAACAAAAAAAATCATGTATCAAAACTTTAGAAGGAATATCAAAATATTTTTATTGGCAATGCCTAATAACAGGTCCATTAGCTGGATATATTCTTGCGCATTTATTACCATCTTTTAGTCAAACTACTCAATACTCTCCTGCTTTAATAGCAAATTTATCTAATACTGAAATATTACGTTTATCACCTACTTTTTCTGAACATACTCAATCAGATACCAAATGGTCAATGCCAATACCTGTATCTAAGTCTCAGAATAAAATTATACAAAATGAAGATATTGAAATGGAAGGTAAATTTATAGCTTGTTTTGATTCAAAATTATATTATATTAATAAATTTTTTATTTAAATATACAATTAGAGAATCAAATTCTGGATAATCAGCAAATAGAAGGTAAATATCGTATTTTTTTTTTTTGAATATCAATTTTTCTAATCTGAGTTAATGCTATTGATATATTAGTTATTTATGAAGTGGATTCTGAATATCCATTAAGAAAAGGATGGGCATTGTGAGAAAATCAAATTTTTGAAAAATGAGGTAGAGGTAAACGAATGAGTGATGAAGTCAAAAAAATGCTTGAAAGAATGTTTTTGCTTGAAAACTTGAATCCAAAAGATCGTATGAATGCTAAGAATATGTATAAAAGACTAAAGGAATTTTCAAATAATGAAGAACTTGAAGAAGCAGAAATTCCAAAGGTAAATACTATCCAATCGTGAATATCAAGATTTACTCAAAAATTCAAAGAAAGTTTAACAAAAGCTGCATTACAAAACCAACCTACCTAAAAGTTCTTTGGTGAAGAGTTCTACTGTAAATATATAATAAGTACTAACAATAATAGAGTTCAGTACTTTTTATAGTTATAGTTAAAGATGATACAGCAATTAATTTCAAATTTACAAAATATTGTAACATAAGCTAAAATTAGTTGCAACATATATAGGTTAAAACTAATTGCAATGTAAGTTGCAACATTAAAAGTTGCAACATATTAATTACAGTTCCCATCTTTAGTTATATACAGTATTTATTAAATTGAAATGTTCGCAATATATATATAAAGTAAAAAATAATAACTTATTCACAATATATATTAAATAATAAAAAAATAACACAAAATTTATAAATAAAATAATAAATTTTTCAATTCAAAAAAAAGAAAAATGTTTGCAAATATAAAAAAAAAAAAATGTTTATAAATATATATATAAAAAAGGAAAAAAAAGAAAATTGTTTGTAAATATAAAAAAATGTTTACAAATATATATATAAAAAAAGGAAAAAAGAAAATTATTTATAAATACACTTCTGACCAATAAGTTTAGAACCACCTAATAAATAATAAAAAAATGTGTTTTTTTAACAATTAACTTTTTTATTAGACTTAAAAAATTATATACATCATATACGATTATTTTATTAAAAAAATAATGAATTTTTGTGATTTGTTTTAATAAATTATTAGTGGATTTAATATGTGACATCTTTATAATTTTTTTTTTAACAAAATAAGCTAAAATTATTAATGCAAAATAAAAAATATTTTTTTATAAGTATATCACACAAATTTTTTGATTAAACATTATACATATTATATATAATATAGGAGCGTTTCCAGTAAAATTACATTACAGATCATATGATTTACTATGTCTCATGACTTGATTTAACTGAAAACGTTTTCATATAATACAAAAAAAATATTTCAAAATTTTGAAAATTAAAAACTTTTAATAATAATAAAGTTTTTTAATAAAAAATCAATATTTTTCATTAAAAAAATCAAATTATAAAGATAATTTATAATTCTTATCCATATAAAAACCTAAAAAAAATATTTGTAAATATCTTGTAAGATAATCACAAGCTTTAATTAAAGCTTCTATATGATGTAACATACTTATAACAAGCTTTTAATAAATCTCACATGAAATTTTAAACCAGTATTTTTGAAGAAATACTTCTAATTTTCGCAAATTTTTTGGATGGTATTGTTTAATTCGAATGTGACATTTAAGCTCATCCTATAGGTATTGAAGACGTAATTCATACTGCACTGATTAAATATAGCCAATCATATGATTTGAATTAGTTAGCCGATCTGACCAATATAACGAATTGAACAAATCTGACAAATCTGACAAATTAGTCATATTTGACTGATCTACCAGATTTATTATATTCATTATATGTATTATATTTGTTAGTTTAGGTAGATTAGTTATATTTATTATATTTATTATAATTATCATATTTTATTTACTATTATTTTATTTTGTATAAATACTCTGTGTCTTTGACCTGCTAAATAGCAGAGTTATTACAAATTCTCTAATAAATCAATTACATTTATCTCTAAAACTTATCTTTACTCATTAAACAATTCATTCTTCTTTAAATCTATATCAATAAAGATAATCTGACCGTTTAATTTAATTATTTGTATTTATTTCTTCTATAGTTTAGACATACTTAAACTCCTTGCTAGAAATAATCTTTATTAACTTAATGACAAACAGTTTAAGCTTAACAAATGATGATTTATGCCAGGCTATTCTTTGTTGATAATATACACAATGAATTGCTGACAAACTAGCAAGGTGTATGAATTTTGAAGAAGTTGAACATAATATAACTGAGTATATTATTAGACACTATTCTAATATTAGTTTTAATGTAGATTATACTTGTTTTTAAAGTTATCCTTCACCTTCAAATAATAACCTCACAGATAGTTTTATCTACTTTTGGGTTCAGTTTAACTTTGAATATTAAGCTGATACGTACTCTACAAGAACTACTATTTCATTTAATATATTTAAAAGCATATACTATAATATTGGATTGGAATATTGTGACGAACAATTAAAAAGTATTATAATATCAATATTTTCTAGTATTCGCTATCAGACTATACTTATATCATTTGACATTTTATATTTATATATTCAAGGTGTAGCATTTAATACCAACTGTTTTGAATGACAAATTACACTATCTATCTTAAAAGTGTTTATATTGAAATATTAGATCAAGATTTACTACAAATACAAAGAGACAGACAGTTATTACATTAAATACTTGCTTCACAAATCCCTCTGCTAATAGTTTATTTAACTCAACTGCTAAAACCCCACACCCGAACCACCAGAAATTATGGCAACAGGAAACCAAATAAGATAAGTATTAGAAAGTATTTTTAGAATAGGAGGAACTAATTTATGTGAAGAAGAACACACAATCAAAGTTGATTACTTTCATATAGAGGTTCGAATCATTCAATCTGCAATTAATATGATCCAGATCCTAATGATTGATTATGTAAGTCGATTTGTAAAAAATTTATGACGATTGATTCGATTACATATAATCTGATTAATTATTCAGATCACTCGAATCATATAATGATTAAAAATAAAGCTGTAAAACTGATCTGTTCATTTACGAAACTTTAAATTTTTTGGTTTTCTTTCGTCAACATTATGAATATGTCTATGCTTCTTTCCATTAACTTTAAATAAATAATTTTTCTTTAAATAAGTTTTTAGTTATACTTTTCGTTGACATTTCCCCTTGTCAATTTTTTGGGGGGTTTTTTCCCTTTTTTTTTACTTAAAATTACATTTCATTTCTGAATAAATAAAATGTCTGACGAATTTGAAAGCAATAGTAACTCCAACCGCTCTAGTATAACAGATATTAATAGTGAAAATACTTCACATATTTCAAAAAAAAACGTAATGATGATCCCAGAGGTTTCTCAAAAAAAAGTTTTATTTAGAAGTACTTTAATAAAATGGCAAATCCTAATGGTCTAGGAAAGCTTATGATTTGTACTCTTAACGCTTCTAATGGTTAGCTATATAAAAGGACTTATGCTGCACTTGGCAGCACTAGTAATGATATTTAACATTTAGCTAGCATTCATGGAATCATTGAACAAGAAAAAATTCATATAAAGGTAAATGGTATTGTGTTTTTGATAATTTATTATATTTTTTTTTTTGATAATTATTATTAAATATTATTATATTTGATTTTTTTTAATATATTATTAGTTAATGAAATATGGAACTATAGATCAAATGCTAAAAAATCAAAATCAACGTCATTAGTCAAAAGCTTAGCAATTAATTACAGATCACAAACTTACCAAATGGATTCTTCATTCTACTAAGCTTATTGATACTGTTAACGATACTTATCTTAATGATCTCCTTATTCATCTAAATCCGAATTACAAATTGCCAAATGATAAAAATCTTAGACTTTGATTCATCAGGCATATGATTGGACTGAAGGATCAATAAAAGAACTTTTAATATCTTCTGCCAAATATATTTCACTTACCACAGATTTATGGACATCTCATGCTAAACAAGAATATATTGGCATAACTGCATCATTTATAGATTCTGATTTTAAAATTTATGAAATCTTACTTGAATTAAAATATTTACCTTATCTTCATATTAAGGCTATATCTTATTTGGATAATGTTATACAAATAAATCCCTTGCACAACACATACACTCCAACTTGTTATTGGAAAAGCAATAACACTAGCTTTAATTTTTGTTGCTTGAGCTAAACAACTAATTCAATTTTTTATGTATCCTAAACAAACAGAAAGACTTAAAGCAACTCAGACTGCTTTAAATTATCAAAAAATCTTAGGTATAATTGGTGATATAAGCACCTGTTAGAATTCATCTTATTTAGCATAGGAGTGGTTACTTTATTTAAAAGATGCAATTGATCAGTTAGCAACTAATTTATCACAAAATTGAGATAATACAATAAGAAAAGATGGATAACATCTTAAAAAAATTAATCTGATAGAAGAAGAGTGAAATTTATGGAAGATTTGGTTAATTTACTTGGATTATTTGAAAAAGCTACTACTTTTTTAAGTGGTAGTACTTATACAACTCTTAGTTTAATGTATCATACGATTTTTGAATTACAAACAATGAAGATTTATTAACAATAGAAGTTATGGATCTCACTACAGAAACAACTATATTAGATGATGAAAATAATGATGAGCAAGAACTTATTGAATAACCTGAGAATGATTATAATGAAATAATTGATCCTATAACTAAAAAAAATATACAAATCAATCAGCCAATAGATGCAAGAAATGTTATTAAAAAAATCAAAAATATAATTATATAAGCATTTCATAAATATTAGAACATTCCATCTGATATTTCTTTAAAAGCAGCATTTTTAGATTCACGATTTAAAGATTTAAATTTTGCAAGATATGAAAAAGAGCAGATTATTCAATTAATTCAAAATGAATTAAAAAACAATTCTACTAATGATAATATAATTCCTTTAAATGAAGAGGATAATATTCAAAATATTGGTAAATATTTTTAATTTTAAATTCTTTAAATTTTATAATAATAATAATTAATTTACTAATGCAAAATAATATTCTATATATTGATTTAGAATCAAAACATCATTATAGAAAAGCAAAAAATGTATTATTTAGCCAAATTTTTTCAAATGTATTAGAAGAAAATATTGTAGAAAATGAACTTAATCAATATATCAATTCAAAATCTGCCGATCCTAATATAGATCTATGTAAATGATGGGCTGATAGAAAGACTTTATTTCCAGTATTATCTAATTTTGTTCAGAAGTATCTTCATATTCCAGTTACTTCTGTTCCAAGTGAGCAGTTTTTTTAGATATTGGAAATCATATCACTATTCGTCGTATACATCTTGATCCTAATCTTCTTCATAATATGGTATTCTTAAAAAGAAATATAAATATTGTTAACATATTTCCACTTGAAGAATAAATTATAATGTAATAATTTACAAAACTTATTCAAATTATATATACATTAATGCTAATAAATAATATTTCAAATATTAATATATTAATTTTATTTTATAAATAAACAAAATATAAATTATATAATATAATATAATATAATATTATAACCGGATTAACCGGATTATTTATTTAATCAGATCCAACTAATTAACTTTATTACGAATGATCAAATAATCGATTGATAAAATATTGACCAATTTGAATCTCTACTTCCATAAAACTAAGAATGAAGATTCTAGTAAATGGCTCACTTTTTTTGAATGAACATCAACTACCAATCGATGGATTACAGAAGCTAGAAAAAAGGCTATTGCTAGAAGACATATGAAAGGAGCAGCTGCAAACTGGTTTGAAAGTATTTAAGCAACTATTAGAGATAATTAGACTATAGGAACCAATACTGGAAATAATTTTGTAGATCTTTTTGAAGCATGTTTATTAATAAAACTAAAAAAGCCAATGGTATCAAGAATTATCTGTGCTTTGACAACAAATCGATGAATCTGTCAACTCGTATGCTAATAAATTTAAGAAATTAGTAAACAGAATCAATATAATAGATAATGTTCAAAAGAAAAGAATATTCCTTATGAAACTTAATCCTGCACCCCTCTTGTATATTCATAAAACCCAGCTAATTTAGATACTGCAGTAAATTCAGCAAGAACCATTGAAATTGTTTATAACTTTGCAACCAGTAGATGTCTAAAAATCTTAATGCAACTACTAGTATTACTCCTGTTATCCTAAAAGTACTTTTGCTAATAATAAAGTTGATAAATTAACAAAATGAACAGTTGTTTCTTAATTATGCCAATTTGACAACTGCCTTGTTAGCTCAACCTCAAGTGTGTCTAAAGAGAAGAAACTTTAACAATGAAAGAAATTTTCCTAATGAACGAAATTTTAATAAGAAAAACTTCAACAATAACTGAAATTTTTCTAATACACAAAGGAGATCGCAAGTAACTAATCTAACTTGTTTTAATTATGAAAAAATTGGATATTTTAGTAGAGAATGTATTGCATCTTGATAACTAAGATTCAATGAACCTAGAGATATTCATTTAGCTAATCAATATTACGATGAGAAAGTTATTTATAAAACTGCAGAAGAGAAAGAATATGAAGTCTATTTGAATATCAGATCTAGACTCATATCCTAGCAATCCAATTTCGAAGAATAAAAGAGAAAGACAAAGTGAATCTCAAAGAAAGAACTCTTAAGACCTATAATGACTCAACATTTTAATCCTAACATGCTTGATGAGGAAATGAAAGCAGAACCAAAACTCATACCTGAACTAATTACAATAGAGAAAACAGAAAAAGCATTTTGACGAAGATTACTACCAGTATCTATTAAACAATTGACTGAATTCAATGTTTCTACATATTTACAAAACCTACAATGTAAACTTTCTGTAGAACAAGTAGCACATGCAATTCCTAAGTATTGATCAGGCTTAGCCAGAATTGTTAGACATTCAAAAAAAAAGATGCTAAAGAAACAAATTTAGTAGAAAGTGATGGTAAACCAATGACTACCGCTAAGTGTATCCTTCAAATTGAACAAAAAGCTCAAATTGCAATTATTGATAGTGGAACTGCTACTAGTATTATTACCAAATCATTATTAGACAAACTTGAATTTGTAATCAACTGCTCTTTAAAAATGATCGTAGTAACTGCAAATGGAGCCAGAACTCTTTCTTTTTGGATTATTGATAATGTACCTGTCAATATTAGAAAATTCCAAATATTAATATTCTTCAAGTTCTAGAATCAAAGAATGAGATCCTTATTCTTGGAAATAATTGACCAAGAGAAACTAATGCTAACATAAATTGGAAACAATTTACGTTAACCATTAAACAAGGAAAATATGTTATTCGAATTCCTGTAACTTTCATAAAAACTTCTAAAGTAGTAAATTAGGAAGAAGAAGAAACTGGCAAAGAGGATGATTATGAGGATGAACTCTTAGAAGAATACCCTATCTACCTATCTGATGAATGTTTTGAATCAGAATCTAATAACGTTGATGAATTGGAATTTAACTCCTGGAACAACTACTATTTTCCTATAAATTCAGAAGAAAATACTGATAATGAAGAAATGGAAGATAATTCTAATGAAATTAACCCAGCAATCTTTTTTGCTAAAGCTGCAAAATTTATTACTGAATAGAAAACCATTCCATTTAAATAAACAGGACCATTGGATGACTATCAATAAAAAGAATTAAAACAAATAGAAACAAATAAAATAATCTAACCATCATATAGTCTATGGGTCTCACTAATTATAATAGTTGGAAAGAAAGGAGGTGATAAAAGACTTTGTGTAGACTATCGCAAACTAAATACAGTAATAAAAATCAACGCTTATCCTTTACCAAAAATTAATGACTTATTAGACTTCTTAGGTGAAGCTTATTGGTTTATCATATTAGATCTAACCAGTAGATATTAACAAGTGACTATACATGCTAAAGATATAGAAAAAACTGCATTTATTATCACTTGTGAATTATATAAATTTCTAGTTATGCCCTTCAGATTAAACAATGTTCTAGATACCTTTCAATGACTAATGAATTGGGTTTTGAAAGATTTCATTAGAATATTTGTGGCAGTCTACCTAGATAATGTAATTATTTATATAAAAGAATCTTTTGAATTACATATTAATCAAATCCAACAAGTTTTTCAAGTATTGAGAAATGCATAATTATCAATAAAATTAAAGAATTGTTATTTTACCAACCTTCTCTCACTTTTTTTAGACATAAAGTTGTCAAGAAGGACTTTTACCCAGCCCAAAGAAAATTATAAAGATCAAAAACTTTTCAGAATCCAAGAATTTAACACAATTACATGCTGCACTAGGATTATTTGGTTACTATCAAAAGTTTATTAAAGACTTTTTAAGGTATGACTATGTTACTAAAAAAGGACCAGCCATTCAAATGGGAAGATAAGCAATAACATGCATTTGATAGACTAAAGGAAAGGCTTATAAAATCACTTATTTTATAATATTCAGATTTTGAAATACCTTTCACCTTATATACAAATGCATCGAAAAAAAATTAGAAGCTATTCTTGCTTAAAAAAAACTAGGGAAAAACTTTGTAATTGCCTATGCTAGTCATTCTACTAACAAGGCTGAAGAAAATTATCCAATTATTGATCTAAAATGTTTAGCAATTGTCTGAGCTATTAAACACTTTCATCATTACTAAGTTGCTTGTCTAAACTCATTTTGAATTTAGCTAAATGGTTAAACCTTTAGTTTCGCTAAATTTTTACTAAGTATTTGATATAGTTTTACCATTTTTATAAGCTTTGATATAGTTTTACCTTTTTCTGAATTTTGCAGATTTTTTAATAGATTTTAATATAATTTAACCAAGTTTTACTTTTAACATTTAGACGTCTGTCTAAACTCTTTATTTTGCCTAATAACTTTAACCATTACCTTAGTCGACCATTTACAGTAGTAATTGATCATGCAGCATTAAAATGGTTAAAGACATCCAAAATGCCAAAAGGAATACATGCAAGATGGATAATGGAATTACAATAATATCACTTTACCATAGAACACAGAGCAGGAAAACATAATGCTATACTAATGTGAATATCTTATCTCAAATGTATAATGAAAATGAAGAACAAACTGATAAATGTTTTATACTCAGAATAATCAATCCTAATTTGAAGAAGGATCTCAATAAAATAATGATACTTCAAGTAAAAAAGAAAGTGAATAGCACATTTCTTCAAATTCTAAAAATGATGAAGAACATTGGTTTGAAGAAGAATTAATGCAACAATTTTCTAATATTACATTAATTACAATAATTGGTTATGAAAGCTCTAAAGATGATGGAAAAAATTTACCAAAGCAATTTAAAAGTCAAACAAGTTATTGCAAATTAACCGATCATAAAAGAAGAATCACAATATACTTTCACATGTGATACGGAAAACTATCATATTTATATTTATTGCAAAATATGCAAAAGAAATTTATTATATAGAACTATTGTCTATGATTATATAGTTGAATATGGGCTTAGAAAGATTCAATCTGACATAGATCTAATTTATTTACTTAATGACGTTTAGTAGAATGAACCTATTTTAGTATAACAAGAAAAAACATTTGCATAACTTTATGAATCTCTTGAAAAT